AAAATAATAGAAAGTTTTGTAAATATTGAAATTTGATTGATCTTTGGTATCCAAAAAGTTATTACATTTCTATTTCTAATATTTATATATTTAATCTAACTAATTGTAGCAAATAGTAAAAACCTGAACTAGTGGAACCGCGAAGAAGAGGGAATTAAAATATTTTGTTTATATTCCAAAACCATCTGCTACATCAATACAAGTCCCTGATTTTGCTTTCAGTAGTTTTTTGATTGCGTTAGCAATATTCACTTATATATTTAAAAAAATTTAAGGAATTATCCAGGTATATGTCTGTAAGTGTGACAGCTTTTCCTGCGCGCATATCCATTATTTGGTCTTTCTATTTGCACGTTTTTGCAGCAGAAATCTTAAAGTTCATTAATAGATTATGACTTCTACAAGAGTTCGAGTTAGTTGGCTTTTATCTAAAAGTATAAGTTTACTTTAATTCTTCCTTAAAAGTTGAGTTTTGGTTCATTATTTGATGGCTTCAAAACCAGAGATATGCTTTTAGCATTTTTTCTTTTCGCTTGGCTGTCTGTGGTAGCATCTGAGCAGTCAGCTCTAATGAAGCTGCTACTTAAAGCGAATGGTAGCTAAGTATTTTGTATTATTTATATGATATTCTAGCTTTCGGAAACCGGTTACGTAAAAATTTTGAGAGCTTTGGACTATCGATCCATCCTTCTTATATCTTCTTGGTCAAATTGTTAGTCAAGCAAAAGTGCTGTAACAATATTTATTAAGACGACATATTGCAATGGAGCTGTGTCGAGTCACCTTAGTTGAACATTTTTGTTCCATTGTCCAAAACGCCTCAGTTGCATTCTGTTGAAGTGAAATGAGTTATCTTTCTTCAAAATTTGTTTAGTTTTCTTTTTTTTTTCTTTTGTTGCACGTCGAGTATCACAGTACAGCTTCCTTGTTACTGTTTATTCTGCTCTATACTCCTCCTAACCCACTTTGTCTATCAACGCATCAACAACGACTGAATACATTTTCTAAAACGTGAGTGTGCCAGTCCTTATTTAATCGCAAAACCTGCGTGCTCCGCCAAGGTACTTTCTTGTGTGGAGGACCTTTTTTTACTCACTACTTCTATAAAATAAAATATATAAAACAGGTTGTTTTCCTACCAAAAATATCAACCTCTTAATTTTTGATGAAAATAATATATTTTAATATTTTTATTTTATTAAAAATTATCAGAAATGTCATGCGGGCCTGAATCCTGGTCAAAGAAATTTTTTTTTGTTTATTTGATTTTTTTAAACCCTGAACGCTTAGAACGTCAGTAGCAAATTTTTTCTTCAGATTTGTTGAGTAGTGTTATTTTATATCCGTAGGAATTGTTCGGATCGGGCACCTATTGCATATATCTGCAATATAAAGATCAATATTAAGACTTCTCCGTAATGCTATAAAAAATGCCGTGTTACGGGCATTTTCGCTTTGGTACAATCGGAGTTGACGCTTTTTCTTGTTTTCCTTCTTGTTTTTTCCATGTACTTCAGTTAAAAAACGCTAAGGCTATTTATTTTAATTAAATGAGGAAATTATAAAACGCTTTATTTTTTTAAAAGCGTTTTGAATTAATTATTACTAAAATTTGTCCGTATTAATCATATTAACCCACAATTTTTAATCAGTTTATAAAAAAGCTGTTGCTTTTGCAATAGTTCCATGTAAGGGGTTTCGTAATGCAAACGGGCAAATAGCTATAAGCTTCTGTATAATTCAGATTGCATGAAATATAATTAAATAAATAGTTTTTGCTGTTTTTGTCACTTACGTTGTAGTTTGTCCGTTAGTCGGTGTCCTCGTGATGAAGTTTGCATGGAAGTAGTCGACTGAACACTCAGCGCTGAAAAAAATAGAGAGAGAGATATAGAGAGAGGTGAGTGCGTACGTAATTATATGGAGGTATGAAATGCCTACAATTTATGATTAAAATGGGAATTGAAATAGTTCGTGTTTAACTTACTATGCAACAGAGATAATTCGAATATTTCCGCACATCTCTGCAATGCATTTAATTTATGAAACAGTATTTATGCATGCGTGTGTGTGTGGATACACCCACTTGTTATGCGCTGGTGCGCAATCTTCTAAGCCCACTAATGAGTTTTTATGTTACATTTAATGGCATAACATGGGCGAGGATAATAAAATTAATTTCAAAAGTTGTAATCTCATTCATTACCTTTGCATTGTGACAGTCAAAGGATGTGGCAGGGCTGATGTACCGGTGTATGTGTGTGTGTGTGTAAGTGTAAGCAAAATGATATATGAGTCCTTCTTTACAAAGTGCGGGGGTGGAATATTATCTTGATGGCGGAGAGGAGGGTAGTCACAACACATTTGCATACAGTTTTCAACCTTTTGTTGGCGGTAAGTGTGTATGCGCGTACGAGTATGTGTGTGTGAAATAGCACACGCATGTATTAGCAAAATGGAATTAAGGCAAATTAACTCGGTGCCTTACTCAGTTGGATTAAATTGAATGGAGTGCCCTAATTTCGGTACAAAAGCCTTTTGCAGAGAGTTACAACAAATTTACATATTTTTAATGAAATTGAGAGGGAATTGTCTACTGTAGCTGTTTATCGCATTAGCATGCAGGTATTATTGTTGAAAATTTATTTTTAATCTCCTTTTTATGCAATTGAGATCTTTATCTGTACATTTTCAGAATAATTTATTTAATTTACATGGTCGTCAGCAAATTATATCAGAAACAGAGTGAAGGAGAATAGATTAAATTGAAATTGCGTCATTAAGAGAACGAGGTTTTATTAAGAATAGGTTTCTTAGAAGCTGATTCTAAACCTAGAATAGAATGGATCTAGAGTTTTTCAAAAACTAACGCTATCAACTCAGTTTAAAGTAAAACACGATTTTTTCTTCTGGCAACGAAAAATAATTATTTTACTAATAGATGTTTTTACAAATATGCATTTTGCGCTATAAGTGTAAGTGCGATCGTGTTAAAATATGCCATTAGAAAGTTCCGATTTTGTATTAAAAAATATTTCTGAGACAGTTTTATGACTGCTAGATTCAGTATTATTTGAATATACGTCGAAGATAAGCACCAGCAAAAGAAATTACGTTATATTTTACAATTTTCGATGCTGCGATAATCAATGTTTTTGGAGCTGACACTGCAGTTGTTAAAATTGCACAATTTTTGTTTCGTCGAAAATTTTCAAAGATGCACCAGATGACTAATTAATGAAATATTAGAAATTGTCGAATGTGACCATCATATTTCCATCATCTAGGAGCTAAAACTGGCGTAGAAAACCACTTGATACCATTTAAATTAGATTTAAATAAAAATAAGTTTGTTGTGTGGGTGACATACGAGTTAACGGAAAAAGCTTCATTGACCGAATTTCAATCTGCAAATCGCAGATGAACCGCCTTCTACAAAATCAATCCATTTCTCAAGCGGATAGTTACTGGTACTGAAGAATGTGGTACTTATGGTAACGTTAAGCAAAAACAGTCAAGCCCGGATAAAAGGTCAGGAAAGTTTTACAATTTGTTCCGGTGGAAATGACAAAAAACCATGGGTAGCACTTAGTCCGACTGAAAGAGGCAACCATTTAGAATCTGTCAGGTTTGGAAAATTACAAAAGAAATTGTATTCTATCAGGCCGCATGGAAAGTCAGTGATTGACCAGTAGTTGCGGATGCCTGAATGAGAGTTTCTTATGCATCCAATTTAAGGATCAAACTTTTCACCAAGTGATTGCTATCTGTTCCTGTCCATGGTCAATAATTTTGGTAATGAAAAACTCCCCACAAAAAAGCTTGCAAAAAGCCTAGTTCCTTTCAATAAGAGTGGTGTCTATGTTGTCAAAATAAAATTCTTGGCGCTTGCCACATTGCACTTGCAGTGTTTTCTGCTATCCCCGAAATAGTTGTTATAGTTAATTTTTGGAATAGTCATCAAGATGGTTGCGGCGCGATATTTGTTGAGAATTTGGAGAAAAAATCACATGGCATCAATGCAGCATGTGACGGTGCTTTATCGTGTTACAAAAACCAAGAGTTGTCGGACCATAATTCCGGCCTCGTTTTATAAACAGCAACGCGCCAACGACGCATAACACTCAAATAGTACTTCCTGTTGACAGTTGGGTCAGTCAGGGTGCATCACACCTCGATTATCCAGAAAACCTTCAACCTTAATTTTTGACCTGCTTTGACATAGTTTTTTCGGCCTCGGCTCACCTTTGCCAAGATATACAGATTCGTAAGAGTAGATACAAGACTCATTGCCAGTGAGAATACGTTATATTAATCTGATAGTCGGAAATTATTATTTCACAGATGTTACCGCGACGCTACTTTTCGAAAGAACGTGTTATTTTGGAACAAAACGTGCTTTCATTTTCTTTGGCCCAAATGATCTTTAAACATTGTTTTCACTGATTCTTCCGACTTTCGAACGGTGCCGGTACGATCTGTGAGTGTTTATCGTAGAGTTTCAACCTCCATTTATTTTATTTTATTGACGTATTGATGATCAGTTGATGTTGATGGCAGTCTTGTATGTGGTTCATCGTCAACGAGTTTTCGACTCTTTCGACTTTTTGAATAATTTGTATCGAATAAAAATGAAAAAATCTTGAATAATTTCCATCATCTTAAAAATCGCTAAAGCACTTTATAGTATGTACTTCAGAAAGAAACACTGACTTTTGGCATTGGAATACTTTTCCGAAACGGCTCAACCAATTGGCTTGATATTTCCACACTACTCTCTGATATTTTTATCAAGTGTTGATTGACGAAATAATAGTATATCTTCCAATAATTTTTAAGCCTATCCGAAATCTAATTTCCTTATTAATGTTTAGAAATCCCCGATTATGTCAAAGGTCAAATTCTTGACTAGTATTTCGATCTTTACTTGTGTGCATCTATAGCAATAAACCATTTTATATTTTTGGATATCAGACAATTTTAGCTGAAAATATTGCGCCACTGCTAGACATTTCTTTCGGTGGTAAATTAACAAACAATTCTGTAAATGCGCATGGTTTTCTTTAATGAATAAACTGCACCTTTTTCTGACTTTCATAAGTTCAGCCAATAACTAAATTTCTCACGAGTTTTCGTTGCGAATTTAAAAATTTAAAGTTCGAATTGTATTCCTCATATAAATTATTAACTAAATATGATAAGAATTGGTAAAAGTGCTATCGAAAATAACAAATGCAACATAAAGCGTTCAAAGAAAACTTGAAATGAACAAAATTTATTGGAAAACAAAATAAAATATCTGTCAGTTGTACTTGCAACTGCAACATGCGGTAAATTAATGTTTCTTCGAGTGCTCCGTAAATAGCGATGATATAGAAAACACGCGCTAGTGCGAACGAGTGCCTGCAATTGAGTGCAGAATGGCGCACGTTTAAGTTGTTGCATACAAACAGGCGCACGCACTTGTATATGCTCTACAACAAAAGCAATCCATTGTTTAACGCATCCTGCTATGTTCTAAGCGCTACATGCGTAGAAATAAATATAAATATATACTTTTTTGAATACTTTTTTTTAAAAATGCACGTTTGAGGTTTTGTACCACACGCGTGCGGGTTTGAAATGCTGCACAAACAAATGCCGTTAGCTATCGTTGCAACAAACCGGCAACGAGTACGACGACTAGTTGGGCAATTCTCATTCAATTGCGCGCATTGGCGTTCAGTTCGTTTTCTATTTATTTATTTATTATGAGCATTTTTTAGTGGGTAATTCTTTTGTAATTGAAAAATAAATAAAATGAAATAACAGTTTGTAGGTTTAAACGCAGCAAATACGCGCACAATTGTAAGTTTGCAGATTAGCTCAGGCTTATGCGCACTTCTAAAATGTGTTAAGCAAATTTTTGCCTGGGATTTGTTCACTTAAAGCGCGAGAGTGTAGTTTGTGGGACGCTTTATTGATAAAATTATAGCAAAATAATAAATAAACTAATTTTGTGAAGATAAGAGTGTTTAAAATATTTTAAGTGACATAATATATAATATTTTTAATAGGGTTTACAACCACATAAAAGCCAGAAAACCGGAGTCTGTGTGATTTTTTAAGAGAAAAAACAAATATTTTAAATATAAAAAATACTGTGTGTTTAAGACATAGAAGACAATTTTTTTTTGTGCAAGAAAAAAAGTTACATGCATTTATTTTAGTTCAGTTTGTATGGCAGCTATATACAATTGTTAACCGATCTGAACAATTTCTTCGGAGTTTACATTGCAGCCTTAGAAAATAATCTGCACCAAATTTCTTGAATATATCTTGTCAAATGCAAAAGCTTTCCATACCAGCACTAGATTCAGATCGTTTAGTTTGTACGATCGATACGTTTGAGCAGTTCCTTAAAGAAAATGACGTTTGCAAAATTTCAGTTTTGAATATATGATATCTTAAAAAATGAGGAACTAGTTCGTATATATACAGGTAGCGAGGCGGACAGACGGACATGGCTAAATCGACCCAGCTCGACATACTGATAATTTATATATGCATTTTATACTGTCACCGACGCTTCTTTCTGGGTTTTACAAACTTCGTGGCAAACTTAATATACCCTGTTCAGGATATTATTGGGTTATTTGAGTTTTCTTATAAATTTTGAGATTATGTGGAAAAGTTGTTAAAACAAAAGTTATAGCTTCTTTCATTATCTATTGTATATTATTGCCAAATGACTTTTTTCTGGGAAGTCGAGATAAACCGCCACTCCCCTTAATTTTTCTCGACTTAAGATCGCTTGTAAATCATTTTACCGTTAATGCTTACCATTTGTTTCCGATGGGGTTTGTTCTACTTTGAATTTTTCTTTTT